CAAGCCAAAACAATCAAACATACGCCAGGGAAAGGGCCAGCCAAGGGTTCGAGTGACCGTGGGGCGGCCGACGAGCCTGGGGCGACCAGTGCAAACGATGGAGAAGCAGAAGCAAAAATTATCCTGGCGAAAGACCCAACCATAAGCAATTGTTGGTAACGCGTTGTGGGTGCCGCTTTCGGTGGGGCTCCATATGAGGCCACGAAGCGCTGCCTTGGATGGGGGAACCGCATGCGGACTGCGCCACCGGGGCGGGCCTTCGGTGGAGCTCCCTATGGGGCTACGAAACGCTGCCCTGGGTGAGGTAACCGCATGCGAACTGCGCCACTGGGGCCTTCGGTGGAGCTCCCTATGGTGCCACGAAACGCTGCCCTGGGTGGGGGAAGCGCATGCGAACTGCGCCACGGGGGCTTTCGGTGGAGCTCCCCATGGGGCCACGAAGCGCTGCCCTGGGTGGGGGAACCGCATGCGAGAGCAGCCACTGGGGCCTCCGGTGGAGCTCCCTATGGGGCCACGAAACGCTGCCCTGGGTGGGGGAACCGCATGCGAACACCCCCACTGGGGCCTTCGGTGGAGCTCCCTATGGGGCTACGAAACGCTGCCCTGGGTGGGGGAACCGCATGCGAACACCCCCACTGGGGCCTTCGGTGGAGCTCCCTATGGGGCCACGAAACGCTGCCCTGGGTGGGGGAACCGCATGCGAACACCCCCACTGGGGCCTTCGGTGGAGCTCCCTATGGGGCTACGAAACGCTGCCCTGGGTGGGGGAACCGCATGCGAACACCCCCACTGGGGCCTTCGGTGGAGCTCCCTATGGGGCCACGAAACGCTGCCCTGGGTGGGGGAACCGCATGCGAACACCCCCACTGGGGCCTTCGGTGGAGCTCCCTATGGGGCCACGAAACGCTGCCCTGGGTGGGGGAACCGCATGCGAACACCCCCACTGGGGCCTTCGGTGGAGCTCCCTATGGGGCCACGAAACGCTGCCCTGGGTGGGGGAACCGCATGCGAACACCCCCACTGGGGCCTTCGGTGGAGCTCCCTATGGGGCCACGAAACGCTGCCCTGGGTGGGGGAACCGCATGCGAACACCCCCACTGGGGCCTTCGGTGGAGCTCCCTATGGGGCTACGAAACGCTGCCCTGGGTGGGGGAACCGCATGCGAACACCCCCACTGGGGCCTTCGGTGGAGCTCCCTATGGGGCCACGAAACGCTGCCCTGGGTGGGGGAACCGCATGCGAACACCCCCACTGGGGCCTTCGGTGGAGCTCCCTATGGGGCCACGAAACGCTGCCCTGGGTGGGGGAACCGCATGCGAACACCCCCACTGGGGCCTTCGGTGGAGCTCCCTATGGGGCCACGAAACGCTGCCCTGGGTGGGGGAACCGCATGCGAACACCCCCACTGGGGCCTTCGGTGGAGCTCCCTATGGGGCCACGAAACGCTGCCCTGGGTGGGGGAACCGCATGCGAACACCCCCACTGGGGCCTTCGGTGGAGCTCCCTATGGGGCTACGAAACGCTGCCCTGGGTGGGGGAACCGCATGCGAACACCCCCACTGGGGCCTTCGGTGGAGCTCCCTATGGGGCCACGAAACGCTGCCCTGGGTGGGGGAACCGCATGCGAACACCCCCACTGGGGCCTTCGGTGGAGCTCCCTATGGGGCTACGAAACGCTGCCCTGGGTGGGGGAACCGCATGCGAACACCCCCACTGGGGCCTTCGGTGGAGCTCCCTATGGGGCCACGAAACGCTGCCCTGGGTGGGGGAACCGCATGCGAACACCCCCACTGGGGCCTTCGGTGGAGCTCCCTATGGGGCTACGAAACGCTGCCCTGGGTGGGGGAACCGCATGCGAACACCCCCACTGGGGCCTTCGGTGGAGCTCCCTATGGGGCCACGAAACGCTGCCCTGGGTGGGGGAACCGCATGCGAACACCCCCACTGGGGCCTTCGGTGGAGCTCCCTATGGGGCCACGAAACGCTGCCCTGGGTGGGGGAACCGCATGCGAACACCCCCACTGGGGCCTTCGGTGGAGCTCCCTATGGGGCTACGAAACGCTGCCCTGGGTGGGGGAACCGCATGCGAACACCCCCACTGGGGCCTTCGGTGGAGCTCCCTATGGGGCCACGAAACGCTGCCCTGGGTGGGGGAACCGCATGCGAACACCCCCACTGGGGCCTTCGGTGGAGCTCCCTATGGGGCCACGAAACGCTGCCCTGGGTGGGGGAACCGCATGCGAACACCCCCACTGGGGCCTTCGGTGGAGCTCCCTATGGGGCCACGAAACGCTGCCCTGGGTGGGGGAACCGCATGCGAACACCCCCACTGGGGCCTTCGGTGGAGCTCCCTATGGGGCTACGAAACGCGTGAGAGGTGTGCCGAGAGCAGAGGCAAGGAGGGGGAGGAGGGAGGAGGAGGGGGAGGAAGGAAGGGAACGCGGGGCACCGTCTCTTCAAAACGAGGACCCAACACCACAGGATGGTTGGGAACAAAGCAACCAAATCACGCCAGGGAACGGGCCGGCCGAGGAGCCGAGCGACCGAGCGGCGGCCGACGAGCCTGGGGCGACCTGCGCGGCCGACGGACATGCGAAACCAACCCAAAACAACCAAAATCAGCCAGGGGGCGGGCCAGCCGAGGGGCCGAGCGACCGAGGGGCGGCCGACGAGCCTGGGGCGACCAGTGCAAACGATGGACAAGCGAAAACCAACCAAAACAACCATCACCCGCCTGGGAACGGGCCAGCCGAGGGGCCGAGCGACCGAGGGGCGGCCGACAAGCCTGGGGCGAGCAGCGCGACCGATGGACAAGCGAAACAACCCAAAACACCCAAAACGCGCCAGGGAAAAGGGCCAGCCGAGGGGCCGAGCGACCGAGGGGCGGCCGACGAGCTCGGCGTTGGCAGTGCGACCGATGGACAAGCGAAAACAAACCAAAACCAGCCAGGGGGCGGGCCAGCCGGGAGGCCGAACGACCGAGAGGCGGCCGACGAGACAGGGGCGACCATCGCAGGCGATGGACAAGCGAAAACAAGCCAAAGCAACCAAAACACGCCAGGGAACGGGCCAGCCGAGGGGCCGAGCGACCGAGGGGCGGCCGACGAGCCTGGGGCGTCCAGCGCAACCGATGTACAAGCGAAACCAAACCAAAACAACCGAAACCAATTTGGGAACGGGCCAGCCGAAGGGCCGAGCGACAGAGGGGTGGCCGACGAGCCTGGGGCGACCAGTGCTACCGATGGGCAAGCGAAAACAAACCAAACTAGCCAACAACAGCTTTGGAACGGGCCAGCCGAGGGTCCGAGCGACCGAAGGGCGGCCGACGAGCCTGGGGCGACCAGTGCGAGAGATGGACAAGTGAAAACAAGCCAGAGCAACCAAAGCACGCCAGCAAGCCAAAACAAGTACAACCAGCCTGGGAAAAAGGGCCAGCCGAGGGGCCGAGCGACCGAGGGGCGGCCGACGAACCTGGGGGGCGACCAGTGCAACCGATGGACGAGGAAAAACAAGCCAAAACACTTGATACAAGCCAGGGAACGGGCCAGCCGAGAGGCCGGGCGACGGAGGGGCCGCCGACGAGCCTGGGGCGACCAGCGCAAACGATGCACAAGCGGAACCAAACCAAAGCAACCAAACCTCGCCAGGGAAAGGGCCAGCCGAGGGGCCGAACGACCGAGGGGCGGTCGACGAGCCAGGGGCGACCAGCGCAATCGATGGACAAGCGCAAGCAAGCCAAAGCAACCAAAACACGCCAGGGAAAGGGGCCAGCCGAGGGGCAGAGCGACCGAGGGGCGACCGACAAGCTTGGGGCGACCAATGCTACCGATGGACAACCGAAAACACATCAAACCAACCAACACCAGCCTGGGAAAAGTGCCACCCGAAGGGGCCGAGCGACGGGCGGGCGGCCGAAGAGCCTGGGGCGACCAATGCAACCGATGGACGAGCGAAAACAAACCAAAGCAACCAACACCAGCCAGGGAACGGACCGCCCGAGGGGCCGAGCGACCCACGGGCGGCCGACGAGCCTGGGGCGACCAGTGCAAACGATGGACAAGCGAAAACAAGCCAAAACAACCGACACACGCCAGGGAAAGGGGCCAGCCGAGGGGCCGAGCGACCGATGGGGCGGCCGACGAGCCTGGGGGGCGACCAGTGCAACCGATGGACCAGCCAAGACGCAGGCGAGAGCGCTCATTTTGAATCCAGCATGCCCATCGTGACGGGCGGGGAACAGCAAGTCACGATGGCTGGCACAGGCGAGAGCGCTCATTTTGAACCCAGCATGCCCATGGTGACGGGCGGGGAGCAGCAAGTCACGATGGTTGGCAGTGTTCCGGCTTCTGGGCGCCCTCGCCGGATTGGGTTGTCAAGTAGCGACTCGGGATGAGGATCTGGTTTCTGGGGAAGGTGTCCAGACGTGTCCACGCTGCGGAACAATAATAATAATAATACTACTAATAATAATAATGATAATGATAATAATAATAATAATAATAATTATAATAATAATAATGCTAATAATAATAAAAATAATAATAATAAAACAAAAAAACATGACGTCGGATCTTTGGGTGGCCCCCTTCCGGGGAACAGTCCCGCATCCGCGGCCTGTTTTCCTCAATACACTGTTTGTCCGTATCGTTTCACCTATCCCCCTCCCCGAGGGCCCATCCCAGCACACCAGACAAGAAAGGGGATGTGCCCCTCGAGACTCACCCTATCTCCCCGACCGGCCAGGGGGGGCCCACGCCATGCCGAAAAGGGATCGGGACCGATTCAACGATACAGTGAGTGGCTTGAAAAAGGAACGCTTACTTTTCAAAAAGGGCTCGGTCGTTCTTTAGATTTTGCATGCGTTATTTACAGGTCCTCATACGTTATTTGTCACTCATCGTTCCTTATGCGTTATCCCTTTAGATAAAAAGGGGCTTCGTTCCTTATTTATCGTTCCTTAGGTCAAGGCCCCGACTGTACTCCGTTTGCTTCATGCCCAGGTTCCTCAGCCTGAGGAACAACATCAGTCTCACCCTGGACCTCCAGGTCGGGACGGAGCCGTCCGCTAGCTCTAGGGACCGCGGCAACGCCGGGGAGACGTGCGGGTGGCGCAAGCTCACGCTGGCAACCGTGCCGACGGCCGAGGACGACGAGAACATGGAGGCCGCCTTCGTTATCCTCCCCTCTTTTTTTCCTTGTCCTCCTCGCTCGCCTCCCCCTTTTCCCCCCCGCCGTCGACAACGGATCTGGGGTGAAAAATTACACCAGATGGATCCCAGGAGTGGTCCAGGGACCGTTTTCGAATTGATTTGGCCTGTTCTCTCGATTGGACCTCGACGAACGTAAGGGTGACCCTTCGCCGGAGTGACCCTTGGTGCGGGCCCACAGGGGTCATCCGATCGCCGAGCGCGATGCGATAGTGTCGAGCGTGCTTAGTTTTGGCCCATCCGCGGTCTCCCTACAGCCGCGCACTAAATGTCATTCTTGCCCAGGGGTACTCTTACATGTAGCCGAGGATCATTTTTGCAGGGGCTCCTGCCAGTTCTGACCCTCTGGCTGCCTCCAAATCTCCGCACTGTCAGAAGCGCCACCCTCCTCTGGACCCGTTTGTCCACGCGGTGGGTGGAAGAAGTGCGTGGCGTGCTCAAGTGGGGCGCGGGTTGAGGAGGCATGCCTTCAGGCTGCGTTGTTGTGGCAATGATCCAATCATTCTTTATCCAAAGAGTCCCTTGCTCCTGGAGGCGAGGGATAATGCTTGGAAGGGGGTGGCTGGGTCGTCAACGATTTGGGTGTCCGTATGGACATGTTCCTTTGCCTACGCTCAGCCGGGTCAAGGAAGTCGCCCCAATCACGACGTCGCTAGTTGTATTTAGATGTGAAGCTTTTTCCCCCCAGCCTTCTTGTCGGCTGCAGGTCGGTCTATTGGGAGCCTCCCCCACGAAACCATCTGCGTAATGCCAGCCACGAGCAGAGTTGGCACCCTAAGTATTGCACTTGTGCACGGCTCGGCTGGTGAAATTTCTCGTTCTGCCTTCTAGGCAGGATGCATTCGGGAGCCTTCTTGAGACCTGCCGAGACAGATATGGACACCGAACACTTCTGGAAACGTTCGGAATTTCGAGAGAGGCATCTGAGAGTTTCCGAAGATTCGCCCGTCCTTCTCACAAAGGACAACGCCCTCCCAAACCTCCGAAGTCTTCAGAGGCCCCCACAAGGTCCCTGGAGATCACCAGAGGCCCTCAGAGGCAAACAGAAAGGCCCCGAGATGATGTCCCAAACCTCGGGTTCGAAGTCCCCAGAGCTGATGCCAGAGTCCTCTAGCTGACGTCCTCAGTCCTCGGCCCTCAACCATCGGCCCTCTATCCAGCGGCGCACGAGCCACACCGTCAGTGCGCATCGTCGTGCGCACCCGCAGAGATCATCTTCGATACACGTGTGCCGATGTTCGACAGCATGTTAGCCAGTGCCTCGCGGCCCGCCCTCCACACGGAGCTCCTGAGGTTTCATGTCGATCCGATCGATCCGATTCGATGTCGGTTTAGAGTATATATGTTCCTCTCCGCCTCTTACTGCACTTGCCTCTCTTGCTGCCTGCCTTGCCACACCTTGACTCTGCGGTACTATTCCGCAGCTGTATATGCTCTCAGGTTAGAAAAGGAGCGCGCCAGCCCTCGGCCGCCGCGAGTCGTCGGTCGTCGGCCGATCCGATCCGATCGATCCGATTCGATGTCGAATTAGGCGGGCCCGACCATGTCAATTGTGATTTCTTGGCGACCCTAGTGCACAGCGTAATTCTGTGTGTTTCTGGCCGCAGCCGATTCGATTCCGATCTCGATCCTCAGCAGCTTCCGTCCGATGCGATGCTCGTTCAGATCCGATTCCGGTTTCGCGATTCGATGTCGACTGCTCCTGGGCTGAGCGCCCCTGATTCATCCGGAGATCTGATTTTGCCACTGCGCGGCCCCAGAGGTCCCGACCTCCCACTAGAAGAACCCTCTAGCGAAGCGCTAGACAGTCGGGAGTTGCACTGTCGGACCCTGAGAGCCGACCTCACGACCCCATCGTTCTGCGCCGTTCTTCCGAGCCGGAGCGATCCGCAAGGGCGCCGTCCAGGGGGCGAAGTTACTTGTGTTTCGCGATGCGGTTCCGATTCTTTCTCATCCTCCTCTTCTCCCCTGGCGGGCGGCGCGGGAGCGCGAAGTGAAAATTTTAGGCGCCCTTGGATCCGTGCTGGTTCCAGGGCCCGAAGCAGGGCAACATAGCGCCCGTTGTGAGAAACACATGGTTCGGTTCTGCAGCCGGTCCGGTTCTGCAGCAGGTTCGGTTTTGCTTGGCTGGTTCGGTTTGACACCGCTTCGGTTTCGGCCGATTCGGTTTGGGTTTGGCTCCGGTTCGGTTCGGTCCGGTTCGGTCACGTCTCACTGGTTCGGTCCCACCCGTTCGGTTCGGTCCCGCCGGCTCAGTTCGGTCCGACCAGTTCGGTTCGGTTCGTTTGACGGCCTGGTTCGATTCGGTCCGACCAGTCCGGCTCGGTGCGATTAGCGACGTTGGGCGCCGCGTTTGCGTAAGCGACGGCCCAGTTTGAACAGAAAGGAGGAGGAGGAGGAGGAGGAGGAGGAGGAGGAGGAGGAGGAGGAGGAGGAGGAGATGAAGAGGATAGGAGGAGGAGAGGAGGAGGAGGAGGAGGAGGAGGAGGAGGAGGAGGAGGAGGGAGGAGGAGGAGGAGGAGGAGGGAGGAGGAGGAGGAGGAGGAGGAGGAGGAGGAGGAGGAGGAGGAGGAGGAGGAGAACGAGGTGGAGGAGGAGGAGGAGGAGGAGGAGGAGGAGGAAGAGGAGAAGGAGGGGGGAGAAGCAAGGAGGGAGGAACGAGGAGCAGGGCTGCGGCCCCGCGAGGTTCGGCCCCTGGGGTTCGGGGGCCTTTTTGTCGACGCTTTGGGGCTTTGGGCGTTCCTGGCCGCGGCTGGATCCGCCTCGCTTGCCTCCCTCTCCTGAGAGGAGGAGGAGGAGGAGGAGGAGGAGGAGGAGGAGGAGGAGGAGGAGGAGGAGGAAGAAGAGGATAAGGAGGAGGGAGAAGCAAGGAGGGAGGAACGAGGAGCAGGGCTGCGGCCCCGCGAGGTTCGGCCCCTGGGGTTCGGGGGCCTTTTTGTCGACGCTTGGGGCTTGGGGCGTTCCTGGCCGCGGCTGGATCCGCCTCTAAAGCGACGCGAAGATCGGGACAACATCGGATCGGGATATCTCGAAATCTCTGAGAATCGGCGGGTTCGGAGGACGTATCGGGGCGCCGCGGCCGCTCCAGCGCGTTCCGGAACGCTCTGAGAGCGCTCCGGAGCGCTCTGGAGCGATTTATCCTGATCCTAGCTCTGTTTTAGCCTCGCAATGGTTGCCCCCGCCTCCCTCTCCGGAGAGGGCCGCCGGCGCCGCCGACCACGACGACCGGGGGGGGGGGGGGCAGGCCCCGATCCGCCCCGATCCGGCCCGACCTGCCCCTCCTCCTCCTCCTCCTCCTCCTCCTCCTCCTCCTCCTCCTCCTCCTCCTCCTCCTCCTCCTCCGTCCTGCGCCGACGTCCGCATATTCACGTCGGTTCGGTTCGGGGGCCACCCGGTTCTGGTTCGGTTCCGCTCCGGTGTCGGGTCTGGTTCGGTTCGGTTCCCTCTCGGTTCGGTTCCCTCGGATCCGCCCCGACCTGCCCCGACCTGCACCGACGTCATCATGGTCACGTCGGTCCGGTTCGGGGGCCACCCGGTTCTGGTTCGGTTCCGCTCCGGTGTCGGGTCTGGTTCGGTTCGGTTCCCCCTCGGTTCGGTTCCCCCTCGGTTCGGTTCTGAACACATTCGGTTCGGTCCGGGTCGTTTTTTTGTTGTCCTTGTTTTGGTTTGGTTCGGTCTGGTTCGGTCACGGCTGTTGGTTCTCGTTTTCGGTTTGGTCTCTTCATGCATCTGCGCGGCCATGATCGCGTGGCCGTCGGAGATCTGGGCCTGCGCGATCCGCCTCGCAGGTGCTCGAGCCGTCCTGCCTTTCAACAGTCAACCCACACGGTAAGGATGGGCAACCTCTCCCCAAGGGCACTTGCATCGCTGCCTCCTCGGTCCATCCTTGACCACTCGTTGGCCGCGCCCCGCTCGAAACGCTTCGAAACGGGCTTCTCGCGCATCCTTATGATACGGGCCGACTGCGGGCCTCCCAGATGGGGCCAGAGTAGACGGGGTCGGAGGATCGCGCCGCGTCGCCGATGCATCGGCGATGCGGCACGATGTGGAGCCCGATGCTCTCTACGCCGGCGTCGCCGATGCACCGTCGGCGTCACCGATGTATCGGCGATGCATTGGCGATGCGGCGCGACCCTCCAACCCCATCTACTCAGACTCCATCTAGAACTTGGCATCGCTTGGACGCGTGCATTTTTCCTTCGGCGAGGATCATCGAGAAGCATCCTTGATCATTTGGCGAAAAAAAACACGCACGAAACCAAAAAAACACAAGGAATGGACGTCCGAACGATGGCCAGGGGAGGCCTCTGGCTGCTGCGCCGCAGACCGTCAGAGGAGACCCACCGCAGACCGCCGGAGATCGCCCGAGGCCGAGAGTGGCGAGAAGAGATTCTCGCTTTTTATCCTCTCCTTCTCCTCCTCCTCCTCCCTCCTCCTCCTCCTCCTCCTCCTCCTCCTCCTCCTCCTCCTCCCCCTCCTCCTGTTCCTCCTCCTCCTCCTCCTCCTCCTCGAGTTCCTCCTCCTGGCGCGTCACGGTCGTGCATTTCCTGGGACAAGCCCCGGGTGCCAGAGACTCAGAGCGTGAAAAAAGCTACCCCGCTTTCGCTTCCAGGCAAAACCAAGTCACACCACGCGCCTCCTCGTCGAGCGGCCTGGCCAGTACAGGCTGCAATGTGGCATCGTTTGGTATCTCTTGGAAGCGAGGGTGGTCAAAAGCGAGGTAGGTTTGTTTTCCCCCTAGAGACGATCGCACGCAGGGCGGGGGCCTGGACCCCCCCACGTGCTGGCGGGTGCCCGCGCGCGCGCGGCGATCGCAGCGCACCCCCCGCCCCGACGTGCCCCTCCCCAGTGTCGAATCCGTGTCCTCTCGCGCGCGCGACGCCCCCCCCCCCCCCGCCACCCCGTCCTGGCCTAGGGGTGGGGCAGCGCTCCTGGCGACGAGAGATTTGTGTGTGTTCCCCCCGCGCCTGCGACGGCTACGGCACTGGCGGCGTCCTGGTGTCTGCCGCTCGCTGCGATTCGCGTATGATCTGCGTTTTGCCGAGAGGTTTGCCTCTGGTTTTAAGCCGCTCAAGCATTTGGATGGTGTTTAGCCCCTGAGATTTCCTTTCTGTGATTCTTGGGATCGCATTGCCTGGACCCTCAGCGTCATGATCTGTATTTTCACAGCGTCGACCCCCAGAGGTCTGAGAGAGCGTGATCCACCGCTTTTCCTCCGGAACCCGGGGGTCTCCCCCCCCCCCTCCGAAAATCCCCCCCCCCTGCTGGAACCCCTCCCCACCCCCCCTCCCTCCCGGCAAAACCCCCCCCCTCCCCTAACCCCTCCCCCCCCCCTCCCCCTCGAAAACCGGGGGGGGGTCACTACCGGTTCGAACCCCTCCCACCCCCCCCCCTCCGGATCCGGAAAACCGGGGGGGGTCACTACCGGTTGGAACCCCCCCCCCCCTCGAAAACCGGAGGGGGTCACTACCGGTTCGACCCCCCCCCCACGCACCGCCAGCAAACGACTCCCGGTCCCTACCACCGCTCGCATCCCACCCCACACCACACTGTCCCACCCACTGTCCCCACCACCACCCCCCCTCCCCACCAGTGCCCCCACCACTGTCGCACTGTCCCCACTGTTCCCACAACTGTTCCCACCACGGTTCCACTCTCCCCACTGTCTCCACGGACCCAACCACTGCCTATCCCCACTGTCCCCACTGTCCCACTGACTCCTCCGCTGTCCCACTGAGCTGTCCCACTGTTCCCACCACTGTCCCCACTGTCCCCACCACTGTCCCCACTGTACCTCTGTCCCATTGTCCCACCGCCGTCCTCGCCACCGCCTTTACCAGTGTCCCCACCACCATTGTACCCTCCACTGTCCCAGTGTTTCCACCTCATTCCCACTGTCCCCACACCACTGTCCCCACCACCACCGTTCCCACCACTGTCCACTGTCCCCCCTGTTCCCACCATTGTCCCCACCACTGTCCCCACCACTACCGTCCCCCCACTGTCCCACTGTCCCCACCCCACCACTGTCCCGCTGTCCCCTCACCACTGTCCCCACCAACACCGTCCCCACCACTGTCCGCACCCCCACTCGGTTTTCGAGGGGGGGGGGGGTTCGAACCGGTAGTGACCCCCCCTCTTTTCATGATGAGCTGGGGGGGGGGGGGAGGGGTTCGAACCGGTAGTGACCCCCCCCCGGTTTTCCGGTGGGGGGGGGGGGGGAGGGGTTCGAACCGGTAGTGACCCCCCCCGGTTTTCCGCCAGCAGCGGTAGAGCACGCTCTTTCAGAGGTCTGGATACATTCCCCAGGTTCGGCTTTGTATCCCGAGTCGTTCTTCGACGCTCCCAGGGCCCAGCGGGGGCCCCCCGAGGCCGCACTTGGCAACAGAACACGCCCGCCGTGAGCTGTTCGCGACGCGAGCATGTCTGGGTACTCCGGATTTCATGATAATCGGGGGCGGCCAAGAGGGGGGTGATGGATTGTGGGGATGATATCATGGCGGGAGCCATGATATTTCTTCAGATTTCTTGGCGCCTCTTCTTATTCATTACGTCCCTGCCCCACCTCCCCCGCTGGGCCGCGCACATGTCGCCGGCCATGATTTGCGCCCCTCCCTCTTGGACGCCCCCCTTGGCCGCCCCCGAAATAAAAGGGGGGGGTCTACTTTGAGAGGGGATCTGACTTGAGTTGTCTTGGAGGGTCCCAGTGGGGTCAGGGCAAAAGGCTGCCCCTTCATGGCTGGCCTTGGGTGGAGGGGGATCCAAAACTGCCCGACTGGGAGGGCTGTGACCCCCTCCCCTTGATCACGAAACCTGGAGTGCGTGCCCCCCCTCCCCCCGAGGCTGCCGGCCCCAGCCCCCCTGGCTCCGCGCCCCTGGCGTCCGACGGCGCGCCCCGCCGGCGGCGGTCGCTGCTGCAGGTGCGCAGTGCGACCGACGCCGCGCCCCCGCGGCGGCGCTCGCTGCTGCAGGTGCGCAGCGCGATGACCACCGGCGGGCGCGCGGCGCGGCCTGCGCCTCGGGAGGGCCTCCGCGGCGGCGCGGGCGGCCACGGCCAGTCGGCGGCCTCCGCTCCCAGGCGCTCCCAGGGGCTTCCCAGGCGCTTCCCTGGCGCTCCCAGGGGCTCCCAGGCGCTTCCCTGGCGCTTCCCAGGCGCTTCCCCGGCGCTTCCCAGGCGCTTCCCAGGCGTTCCCCAGGCGCTCCCTAGCGCTCCCAGGGGCTTCCCAGGCGCTTCCCAGACGCTTCCCAGGCGCTTCCCCGGCGCTTCCCAGGCGCTTCCCCGGCGTTCCCCGGGCGCTCCCTGGCGCTCCCAGGGGCTTCCCAGGCGCTTCCCAGACGCTGCCCAGGCGCTTCCCGGGCGCTCCCCAGACGCTCCCCGGCGTTCCCCGGGCGCTCCCTGGCGCTCCCAGGGGCTTCCCAGGCGCTGCCTCCGGGGGGGCGGTCGAAGGAAGGGCGGCGGCGCGGGCGGCCCGGCCAGTCGGCGGCCTCCGCGCGTCTGGTCTGGAGGACCGAAAGAGATAAGATTTCGAATATGTTAAACAAATTATCCCAGTGCGACCCTACCTAGGAGTTGGCGGATCTAGGCAAGCAACATCAAACACTTATATGAAGCTAAGCTAAGCTAAGATGAAGCTAAGCTAAGATGAAATAAGATAAGCTAAGATGAGATAAGCAACGCGAAGCTAAGGGAGCGTCACTGGGGGAACCGCGGGGCTGATGCCGGGGGAACCGCCCAGGGCGCATTCCACTGCCGGGCCCTTTAAGCCTCAGAGTAAGAACCCTTCTAGGCAGAGCCTAGGTAGGGAATGATGACCCCCCCAGATCTCGACCGCCATTCACTCGCCGACGAATAACTATGTTTTGGCCTTGTCCCCTGAAAAATATTCCACGGGGGTCGAACGATGCGATTGATACATGCAGACATGTATGCTTGTGTACATATATGCGTGTACACGCGCACGCACGCGTATGCATTGGTATATGCGCATGAACCGTATGCGTGCAGATGTGCAGGCTACTTCGGTCGACGAGTAGGTCGTTTTCGTCTTACTGTGACACTGTACGTACGTGCGGGCGCGACTGCGCGCGCGTGCGCGCGGTGGCGTCCAGTTCTCGCGCGCGGTGTGAGGCTGAATGGCCTTATGTCGGCTCCCCGAATCCCAAATTTACAATTCGTGTTTTCTCACGCGGTTTCGGAGAGACACGTGTGACCCGTTGTCTTTGTGAGATTGCATGGCCTTATGTTGGCTCCAGAATTTTACATTCACCATTTGTTTTTCTCTCACGGTTTCGGGGGTGACACGTGTCGCCCGTTGTTTTTTGCGCAGTTAGTTTTTCTCATTGTTTCATGTTGGCCCCCAGACTCCCAATTATGTTGTTTTTCTCTCAGACGGTTTCGGGGGAGACATGTGTCACTGGTTGTTGTTTTTTGTTATGAGGCTGACTGACCTTATGTTGACTCCAATAATCTGAGATGTACAATTGTTTTTCTCACACGGTTACGGTTTCGGGGGTGACACGTGTCTTCCGTTGATTTTGCGTGGCTGAATCATTTTCTGTTGGCTCCCAGAATCCAACAGTTACAGTTCGTTTTTCTCAGGGTTTCGGGGATGACATGTGTCACCCGTTGTTTCTTGTGAAGTTGAACGGCCTCCCAGGATCCCAAAATTATAATGGTTTGTTTGTTCATCAGTTCGGGGGTGACGCGTGTCGCCCATTTTTTGTCGGTGAGGTTGAACGGTTTTATGTTGGGCGCGGAGTGCCAGAGCGGTCGCGGGGACTTCCCCAGCGACTGGTTTGTCCCGCCTTCCTTTTGATTTCTATGTGTGCGTTACAGCGTTGGGAATAATATTGGTTCATTTGTCCCCCCATATTGATTTGTTTTACAAGGCGCTTTTAGACATTACGGAAATAATGGGTACGAAGACCGACCGTAGTTCTTGTCCATTTTGAACAAGATCTTCTGCTGGTGCCGACTGATGTTCGTTTTGGACGTGTGTTGTTGGGTACTGTCGTATTTGTTCGTCCCCATTCCAGGCGTCCAAATATGGGGGAGGCAAAGAAAGGGTAGAAGTCGTGACGATGAGATGAGGACCGCTTTGGGCGGGGCCCTGGGTTTGCGGGCCGTTCTTCGGATTTCTGTCGTGGAGGCTGTTTTTGTGACCTAGGCCCGCCGTGGCCAGAAATGCCCTTTCGTTCCTTATTATCATGCCTTCCCTGTGACACAACGATGGCTGCAGCAGCGACGCGCCACAGATGGGAGCCCGCCAGCCAGCGTGCTCCTCCTGTGTTTGTTGGTCCGTGGTTACCATGGGCAACGAGAAGAGGGGATAGGTTCAGGGGGGAAGGGAACACATCGACATCCAATCGCCGATTGATGCCGATAAGGGGTCTGATAGTCCCACCCCCCTCAGGTACGTGCGGATTCGCCATCGGGGGCCTGTCGCCGATGTATCGTCGTTGTATCGCGGATTCCAGGTCGCTGTTCCCCCCCCGCTGGGCCCCCTGAGCCTGCCCCTGAGGTTAGGCCCATGGCGCTTCTTCCAACAGCAGCACGCTGACGGATTCCCAACGGCGGCGTCGTTGCTGCTGCTGCTGCTGATGCTGCTGCAGCTGCTCCTTGGGATGGGGGGGGGGCCTGGGATTCAGGCTCGCGGGCGGAACACATTTCCCTACCTAGGCTCTGCCTAGAAGGGTTCTTACTCTGTTAGCTTAAGGGGCCGGGCAATGGAAAGCGCCCCGGGCGGTTCCCCCAGTCCCCGCCCCGCGGTTCCCCCAGTTGCGCCCCCTGGGTTCACCCAGCTTAGCTTAGCTGCAGCTTAGCTTTAGCTTAGCTTCAGTTTAGCTTTAGCTTAGCTCTAGCTTAGCTTTAGCTTAGCTTCAGCTTAGCTTTAATTTAGCTTTAGCTTAGCTTCAGCTTAGCTTCAGCTTAGCTCTAGCGTAGCTCTAGCTCAGCTTCAGCTTAGCTTAGCTTCAGCTTAGCTTCAGCTTAGCTCTAGCTTAGCTTTAGCTTAGCTCTAGCTTAGCTTCAGCGTAGCTTTAGCTTAACGTTAGCTTAGCTCTAGCTTGGCGTTAGCTTAGCTTCAGCTTAGCTTAGCTTTAGCTTAGCTTAAGCTTAGCTGTAGCTTAGCTTTAGCTTAGTTTTAGCTTAGTTTTAGCTTAGCTTAAGTTTAGCTTTAGCTTAGCTTCAGCTTAGCTTCAGCTTAGCTTTAGCTTAGCTCTAGCTTAGCCTCAGCTTGGCTCTAGCTTAGCTTCATCTTAGCTCTAGCTTAGCTTCAGCTTAGCTTTAGCTTAGCTTCAGCTTAGCTTCAGCTTAGCTTTAGTGTAGCTGCAGCTTAGCTTCAGCTTAGCTTTAGCTTAGCTCTAGCTTAGCGTTAGCTTAGTTTTAGCTTAGCTTTAGCTTAGCTTTAGCTTAGCTTTAACTTAGCTTTAGCTTAGCTTTAGCTTAGCTTTAGCTTAGCTTTAGCTTAGCTTTAGATTAGCTTTAGCTTAGCTTTAGCTTAGCTTTAGCTTAGCTTTAGCTTAGCTTTGTCTTAGCTTTAGCGTAGCTTTTCTGTTACTACTAATGCTGCTTTCCTAGGGGCTCCAACTCCTAGGTAGGGTCGCACTGGGATAATTTTTCACATCGGAGCTAAGCCCGTGCAGACGAAATGAATTCAAGAAACATGCACGCGCCATCAAAACGACACGTCGAGTCAACCCATGGCTCGTGCGAGCGAGGGGGCTCTCGGGCGGAAACCTGTCCGTGTCCGCGGCCCCGCGGGCCCCGCCCTTCTGCCGAGACCCCGCGGATGCGTGGCGCGCTTGCGCGGAGACCCACTCGGAACGTAAGTATCCGTGCGACCGCGTGTCCGCGGGACCGCGCGGCCGCTTTGGGCTGCCGCTGGCCCCTCGCGCTCGCCGGGGCGCGCTGCTGTGCTTTCTTGTTTCCCCGCCTCCTCCTCCTCCTCCTTCTCCTCCTTCCTCGTTTCCGGCTTCTCTGCGCTCTGTTGTCACCCGTTCTCGCCGCTGGGCCCCCCCTACGGATGGTAAAAAAGCGTCCGCGGGACCGCGCCCCGAAGTTCGAACCCCCGAGGGCGTGGACACGTGTGCCGCGTGTGGGAGAAGCCGGCGGCACCCCGGGTTTCCTCGCGGCGTGAAGGAGTGTCCCGACGGGCTGCACCTGATGCAGGCCTCGGCCCCCCGGGAGGCCCTCGCCGGGCCCAGGCACCGTCAGAGAACTACTCGGGAGGAAGAGCCGGTCCCTGGGATGCTGTCCTCTTCGCTCCTGGCTCATCGCCCCCCCCCCCCTCCTCCTCCTCCTCCTCCTCTCCTCCTCCTCCTCCTCCTCCTCCTCCTCCTCCTCCTCCTCCTCCTCCTCCTCCTCCTCCTCCTCCTCCTCCTCCTCCTCCTCCTCCTCCTCCTCGCGACCTCTGGGGGTCGGCGCTGTGAAAAAGACTCTTGACGTCGGGGGGCTGGGGCGGCCCGGCGGCCCAGCCGATCGGCAGGATTTGGGTTCGAGGTGCGCCGCCGTGCCTGTGCAGCAGCGTCGCAGGAAGGAGGCAGAGTGTAGGAGCAGCGCAACTCGACGAGTAGACTGCAGTGGGGCGGGTCGATATCCCGACCCTGTCTTCCTCCGCGCGGCAGTGAGAAGGAGGAGGAGGAGGAGAAAGAGGAGGAGGAGGAGGAGGAGGAGGAGGAGGAGGAGAGGAGGAGAGGAGGAGGAGGAGGAGGAGGAGGAGGAGGGGAGGAGGAGGGGGGAGGGGGAGGAGGGGGAGGAGGAGGAGGAGGAGGAGGAGGAGGAGGAGGAGGAGGAGGAGGAGGAGGAGAAGTGAGAGAAAATGACGATGAGAAGGAGAAGGCTTCTGGGGGCCTTCTTGTTGCCTCCTGGGGGAATCCTGGGAGCTTCCTGAAAGCTTTTTGGTGGCCTCTTGGGGGCCTCATGGGGCCTCTCGGGGGCCTCTTGGGGCCCCTGGGGCCGTCTTGCGGGATTCTTGGCCCGTCTGACGCCTATGGAGGCCGACTGGGGGCCCCCCCGGGGGGCCACAGTGGCCGAACTTTCCCCGTCGTGCTTTTACGACGTGAGCGCGTCTTCGGGGCACAGGCATTGGCAGAAACGTGAACTTTCGGAGGTCCACGAGCATTTCTCGGATCTGCGTTGGGGCGGCCCTCCCTCGGAGCGCGCCAGGGGCATCGCCAGAGGCGCCGCCAGGGAGCCCGATGTTTGGGTCCCGAGGTCACCTCCAGGCTCCCTCCTCGAACCTCAAAGCCTCGAGTCACCTCTGACCTCCTGCCTCCTGGCCAGTCTCCCACCAACAGTGACGCCGTCGGATGCGTCGGCGGCGCCGATACCGGCGAATTGCCCAGGGACAGGCATTACACGTATGCTCCCCAGGAGCCTCGCCGAAGGCATGGACCATGGACGCCCGTGGATACATATACTGCCCTCCCATGGGCTATTCGCCCCTATCGGGCCGGGCGCAAGGGGGGGATTGGGAAAGGGGGGGGTACGAAATTTGCTGCATGCAGCTGGTTTCGGCCTCACCGAGGGGGCCATTCCTCGATACTTGGCCGCCTCCCGGCGCCGGGAGGCGACGGGAAAATCAGCTACGTGAGCTGATTCTCAAACCCCCCCCCCCTTTGCTATATCCCCCCCTTTCGCCCGACCCGACCCTATAGCGTCGCCCCAGAACGTCTGGGTGCCGAGGTCACCGGACGTCGCCCTGGACCCCATGGTCAGGGTGGGGTCCACGAGGTCGCGGAAGGCCGGGCTCCCCGTCGAGGACGGCCCGCCGGCCGCCGAAGGGGGAGGTCATGCGCGGGGGGGGTGCGAGGGCCCGCCCGCGCTCGGGGGCGGCCAAGGGGCAACGATGCTCGCCAGTCACTGGCCGCCAGTCGTTGGAAGTACGGTCGGGCCGAGGTGTGAGATCGAGGTCCGGTTCGGGGAGGGAACCCTGCAGGAGGGAAAGGAGGACGCACACGTGCATGAATCCACACTCCGAGAGCACGCAGTGCGCGAACGTTCGTAGCACGCGGCCAGGACCGCGGATTGGGGGGCCGTGCTCATGTGCGTGTTTGGGCGCGTAATTACGTCTTTTGTGGGCTCCCCAGCCCTACTTTTCTTTGAGCTTGTTGGATGTTGTTGCGCATCCTGAGGAGATTATACCCTTGGGTGTTCTGTGGGTTTTGGCCGGCGGAGGGTCTCGTGCTCTTGGAGGATGTGTTTCTGTCCCAGGTCCCACCGTAGGCATTTCTAGATGCCCAGGTCCCAAGCTACTTCGAGCGCCTTCCTGCTTCATGAGTCCATGTGCTTGGTTGCTTCTTGATTTTCTTGGGGCTGGCAAGAGCCCAATCTGCTTTATCCGCTTTCCTACTTCATGTTCCCTACTTCTTCCGACTGGCTGGTGTGGGGAGGTGCGTAGGGGGATTGCATCGACCTCGAATGGCTGATCGGTGCATCGACGATGCATCGCTAAGATCAGGGGTGGCCTGCATCGACGATGTGTCGACGATGCACGGGCGATGTATCGGCCATTCGAAGTCGATGCATGTCTCGTCCCTCAAAGGGGGGAGGAAGTTTTCGTTGGCTGCGGAGCACGCTAGGGGCTGCGCCAGGGGGGCCCAGCGCCGATCCAAAATCCGCACAGTGCGACGACATTTTATGTGAATGCAGTTGTTCCTTCTGCTAGGGATGCTTTCCAGCAGCTGCGCCTCGCCGAGAGCGCTCCGAGGGTGCCTGGATCGCCCCAAACGGTCGGCAGGGTTCCGAGGTATGCCCCGAACACCCCGATGGGTGAAGGTGGCTATCATGAGGGGAAAAAATAGACACAATCAATCGTCGACTCCCAGGAAAATGTAGGAAAATATGGGACTTTGGGGGGGGAAGACGAAAACCGAACAGATATGGGAAAGTAGATGGACTCCAGGGATTCGTGTCCATTTATTTGTGTGTGTCCCTGGGCCCCTGTAGGCCAGGAGGGAGTGGCTATCATGGCCGGGGCCATGGTATCTCGAGTTTGGTGGCCTCCTCTGCTGGCTTCCATGCGTCCGCAATCTACGCCGACGTGCGTGCCCAAGGTTCCTCCGCCGAGGCGCGGGCGTAGAGCGGAGTCGACAGGGGTGTCTCGTCGCCATGTGAGCGAGGAAGGCAAGCGGGGCCGTCAGCGCCGAGATTCGCGCGTGAGCTTCCCGCGTGAGGTCGCGCGTAGGCGCCCTCGCTTGGAGTGTGGCGCGCCGCGTGGGCGGCCCGCGTCAGCCATCGCGTAAGGTGGCTGCGCCATCTCGGGCAATACCAGTTCTTGATCGTCGTTCACGCTGGGCTCGCTTACCACGTTGGCGCACAGGCGCGCTCCAGGATCCGCAGGACAGCTCGGGAGCTTCGTGGCGCTGGCTGGAGGGGCAGGATGTCTTTGAGGAGGCTCGCGTCGCCGCGGCCCCCGCGCGCGGCTCCGAAGCAGGGTGGCCGGGAGCGCGGCTCGAGATTCTGGGCAGGACGCGTGCACGGAGCGGGTCGGGGGGGGGCACGTTGGCAGGGCTCATTTCGACTCCCCCGATTCGATTCGATTTCGATGGATGCCGATTCCGATTCGATTCGACTCGAGATTTCGATTTGGGCTCCGGTTTCCCACTGGACGCATACAAGCTTGCCGATGTCCGCCGATCCGATTTTTTTCGACTCGGCTGTCGATTTCCGCCGATCCGATGCATGTCGATCGCCGATCCGACTTATCGATTCGATTCTGGGCTCTCCTGCGTTGGCCTGGGTGTTGGCCAGGAGGACAACACACACCGCTCGTTGAAAGTATGTATATAGCTTGGAGATCCCCCAGGTCCCAATCTACTTGAGGCGCCTTCCTGCTCCAAGAGTCGAGTCAACGCCTCCTTAATTCATGGTTCCACCTACTTTCTCCGACCGACGGGTAACGCAGAGCCCCGCAGCAGAGCCCCACAGCAGCGGATAAGAGAGAGAGGAGGGGCGACAAGCGTGTCCGCGCGTGCCCAGTGGCACGGGCCCTCCTTGACTCCTCCACACTACCTCCCCTTACTGACTCCCCGTACGAATTTCCTTCCATGACGAACTCCCCGAACCAATTTTCCCGATGTGCGATTTCTAACGAATGCGTCAGACTTTTTATGAAGCCGCTCTCAGCGCAGCAGCGAGTCCATTCCTAAGAATGTTCGAAATTTGCTGATACGAAGTGCTTCCTGCTTTCGCGATTACATGATGGTCCAAAATGGCCTCACAAGAAGATCAACGGGTCCGAGACGGACCCGAAGGCGAGTCCAAAAGGCCATGAGACAGTCGAACATCATTTCAATATTACCCATTCCCAAAATGTCGAAGAGAAGGTAGCCTCTCTGTGTGTGCGTTTGGAGGAAGTCAGGGGGGGGGGGTCCGAAAAGGTGCCCCCCCTCTCCAGGGTGAACGTCGGTGGAGGGAGCGGGAACGTCGAAATCACCCCCCATCCAGTCGGGGGGGGGGGGGGGCGTTGGACCCCCCCACCCCTGGGCGCCAACGATAGCGATGGAGACGACGCCTGGCGCGGGCAAGCGACGACGACTTCGACGACGACGACGACGACGACGATGGCGATGTCGACGACGACGTGTCTCGTTCGCCCGCCCGACCGACTTGCCCACGACGGCGACGATGTGTCCCGCCCGCCCGACCGACGGACTCGCTAGCAGACGTCGGCGCCGGTGATGGCGACGGCCACTGCGACGACGCCTGGCGCCTGCAAACGACGACGACGACCACGAAGCGGCGAGGGTGGGGTTTTACCCCCCCCCCCAATGTCAGAGGCCAGCAGCATATGCACACGTGCGCGGTTAGTTTCTCCTGGAGTGCGTGTCAACGCGGACGTTCGTGCAGGCAAGACCGTGGAGGGCGTACATGTACATATGTCGTTGCTCGCCCACAATGTTCGGAACGATGGGGGGGGTTCTCGCCGGGGAGGGGGGGGCGCCTGCTCTGCAGAGGTGAGGGGGTGATTCTCGGAGGGGAGGGGTCCAGAGCGGCGGAGGTTTGGACAACGACGACGACCACGAAACGGCGAGGGTGGGGTTTACCCCCCCCCCCAATGTTCGGAACGATGGGGGGGGGGGTTCTCGCCGGGGAGGGGGGGGGCGCCTGCTCTGCAGAGGAGATGGTGATTTTCGAAGGGGAGGGGTCCAGAGCGGCGGAGGTTTGGATCTTGCGTCGTTGATCTGGGCGCCCGAAATGGGTACGGAAAGAATGGGTACGATGCCCAACAGCAGTTCCTGTTCATTTCGAACAGGTCTCGCTGTCCGCGCCGCCGCGGCCTGTGTCCATTCGAGACAGAAGGCCGACTGCCCAACAGCGGCCGCTGTTGGTCTGGGAGAACATTTGTTGTTGGGCATTGTGCCCATTCTTTCCGTACCCATTTCGGGCGTCCAAAGTTGAAGCGTGCACAGACGACGCCTCCTCGGTTCATAACGACTCCCTGGCCGCCCCAAGGCGATTCAAGAGGGACCGGACCACGATCAGGCAGCGTCCAGGCACGAAAGGAAGCGCACGTCATCCAGGCTTGGCGCCAAGTCGGAAACATGCTTCAAAGTTGGCGCGCGTGCCTCGTGCCACGATGCGCTAACACCCCCGTCTTCCTGGTCCCCCTCCTCGGCACACCCGACACGGAAGAAGAGGAGGAGGAGGAGGAGGAGGAAGAAGACGATGAGGAGGCCGAGGAAGCCTTCGCCCGCGCCTGCGCCGCGGCCAGCCTCCGCGGCAACTTGGCCAAGACCAGCTGAGCTCTGCCTGAAGGTCGTCGTGGCGGAGCTCCTGGGCAGCGCGAACTGGAACCCTGGGCCCTGGTGCTCCGCCACGGCGCGTTGCCGACGGTCCCAGCGACCCCGGCCGCCGCGACCGCGGAGCGGAGCCTTGTCGCCGAGAGCAGCCCCGAGGCTACCAAAGGCTGGGCACCCTCTGCGCGGAGGGCCTGGACAAGCACGTGGCCCTGACCCTCCTGCGCACGAGAACGGACTCAGACTACACGTTCCTGGCGCGCACCTGCGGCATCCCGAGCGCGGGGGCGCGGGCGCTGGACAAGGCGTTGGCCGCAGAGTACGAGCACGCTTTGGGCAGCCCGCTAGGCGACGCCACGCGAAGGATGCTCTTCTTCGCTGGCGCCGCCGGAGGCCACGGAGTGCAGAGCGTGGAGCTCACATCCCCCTCGGCGAACGCGGCCTCTTGGCACCTTGGCCTGCCGCGCTGCCTGCGGCGATTCGATCTGGAGAGCACCGCCGCCCTGGCAGCGCAGAGCCCCTGGGCGCGCCGCGCCCTGCCTGCGGCCACAGCGACGCTCTGGGCTGCGCTGGGATACGACACCGCCCACGCGGGCGACGAAGCACTGGCAGCTACGCAGCGCACCCTGGCTACGGCCTCCCTCGCTGCGGCCGCCCGCTTCGCTGCCGACGGAGCGGCTGCGGACCCCCTGGCGGCGGCCCCCCTGCGCTCTGCAGGCGGCCCATGCGCGAACGCCCTCATGAAGGTGCTGACGCTGCCCTGCCAACGTTTCACCGACGCGCAGTTCGGCATCGCGCTGCGCTTCCGGCTTCACTTCGACTTGCGGGGATGCGCGGGCCCCCCGCCCGTGGCGGGCGCACGGGCCCGGGCCCCTAAGGCTCTGCCAGCACCAGCACCCTCGCGGCGGGATTTGCGGCGCCCCGCTTGACCCCAAGGGGCGACAGGCGCGCAACTGCCCCGTGGGGGGGGGGGGCGGCTCGTCCGCCGCCGCGACGCGGGCTGCGCGGCGATTGCAGAGCGGTGCGGGGAGCAGGGGTGCACAGTAAACAGAGAGGTCTTGCTCCCCCACGCGGCGCCGGGAAGCCCAGAGGCACGGATGGACTTGGTCGTCCACGCCCCGCGCCTCGCCGAGCTGCTCATGGTCGGCTTGACCGCGGCGGGCGCGCTCACGCAGGACGCCCTCGCGCTCGGCTCCGAGCGGCGGGACGGCGCGGCAGCGGCAGCAAGCAGCCGCGGCGCGGCACAAGCGGGCTCGCTACCCCGTGGTGGCGGTGGCCCCGTTCGTGGTGGAGGACCACGGCCGCTTGGGCGAGGAAGCGCTGGCGCTCGCGCGGCTGATCGCGCCCGCCGAGGCCACCGAGCGCTCTGCGGCCATCCGGCGACTGCGCCAGTCGTTCGGGCGCGTCTTGCAGCGCCACGCCGCCGACGCGGCGATGGCGGCGACGCCGGCGCAGGGCTGGGCAGCCGGCGCCAGGCGGGGCTGCCCCGGCGGGGGCTGAGCTGGGGCGCGCAACCCGGCGGCCGCGCCCGGCGCCGTTTGACGGGGCGGCCTCGGCGGGCGCCCGCCGGCTAGCGGCGGGGCCGCAGGGCCCAGACCGCGGGCCAGGCGGCCGCGCGGGCGAATGTCGCGTTCGCCCTGGCGGCCCCGCGCGTCAGAATTAAAAAGGCTCTGGCGGGCGCGCCCCCTCGGCTCCAGGACCAGTCGCCGCTGAGCGGCGCGCTGGTTCCAGGGTGTGGGGGTTGCGCCCGCTCCCGATCAAAGTGCTCGCGCGCGCGGACAGGCGCGTTCGCCGATCGGAGGGGGAGGAGAAGGAGGAGGAAGGGGAGGAGGAGGTGGAGGAGGAGGAGGAGGAGGAAGAGGAGGGGGAGGATGCATGTGTGTGGGCGCCTCTGGCCTTCCTGGGGCTCCAGACGCCTTCGGGGGCCGCAGAGGCCTCTGCGTGGAAACCTCTCCTAGAGGCCGAGGGGGGAGACTGACGTGTGGGGGGGGCGAGCAGTTCCCCCCACGCCCGTTCGGCGGCGAGCGAGGGGGGAATTGAAAAAAAATGCCTTCCGAGAAGGCGGCGGGACTTCTCAGAAACTTTCGTGCGTTCTGAACGTGTTTGTTGCGTCTCCGGGCGCCGCCCAGCCGTGCCAGGGCGACAACGGCCTCATGGACTTGAGGGCAAAGTGGCAGCGGGTCAAGGAGCCCGTTTTCGCGCGCGGCCTTGCAGGTCTGGCCACGGGCGTTTCTGGGGAATGCTGGAACTCAGGGGCGATCAGGGGAGCAGAGCGACGAAGATCTGAGGGGGCCCAAACAAGGAGCGGGCGCAGGATCAGGATCAGGGGGGGGGAGGTCGACGGCGGGGCTGGAGACGCGGGCAAGGGCGAGGAACACGGGGACGAGGTGGAGGGCTACGACGCGCTACGGTTCACAGTGGATCCGTATACGGTTCACGTAGGACCCGTATACGATTCACAGAATCCGATTGGTATTCACATAGGAATCGTATACGACCCACATCGGAGTCGTACGCTTTCCATAAAAAAATGGATCGTATGCCATCCAGAGATATCGCATACGATACACCATGGTGTATATATATGTATGTTTATATAGTATTCATCTTGTAGCCGTATACGGTTCACATACGATCCGTCCACGATACACATGGCATTCGTGTGTTTCACGCACGCGTCGTCGACAGCGCACATTGGAACCGTACGCGATTCACATCGGAAACGTAATTATACGAATCACATATGAGCCGTACACGATTGACATTGCAATCGTATACGATTCGAATAGGATTCGCTAATTTGTTTCACATAAGATTCGTACACCGTTCATTTTGTATACTGTCATATTTAAACTTAGGATTCACATAGGAACCGCCCGCTCAGAATATGATTGTTGCGGATGGGTTGTTTCCCGTCTGAATGTCCCGGGAAACCAGGCGGGCCTTTTTCAGGGCATTTTATTGGCATTGCACATATTCTTAACATGGGTTGCAATTGACATCATGTGCGGAAGGTTTTCCGAAGCTTACATTCCACAGGGGTGCCCCCCAGGGTTTAGCCCGTCCAACCAGGGTATAGTCCATCCAACCGGGGTATAGACGACTGCCTTTCCCCCAGGCTTCCCTCCCCCTCCCCCTTTCCCTCGTCGTCCCTCTCATCCTTCCTCCTCCCTCCCTCCCCCTTTCCTCCTCGTTGCCCTCTTCTCCTCTCCCCCCCGTCTCCTCCTCCCCCCTCTGGCGATTACGAGGCTGCCTGATTGCGTTTGGGTTTGCGTCCGGGCCCCCACGGTGGGCCCACCCCCGTCGGTTCCACTTGTTTTCCGTTGGCTGGCCCGACTTTCTCCCCGGCTGGGGCTCTAGCTGCCGTTTCCGTCGGTTTCCGTGGCCCTTGTCCCCGGCTAAGGGGCGGCAGGCTGGCGGGGCTAATAAGGCACCCTGGCCCAATGAGGATGGGGATTGTCTAGGCTTGCTAGGGTCGGAGGATCGCGCCGCATCGCCGATGCATCGCCGATGCGGCTCGATGTGGGGCCCGATTTGCTTCGCGTCGACGTCGTCGATGCATCGCCGACGTCGAAGATGATCGGCGATGTATCGGCGATGCGGCGAGTTCCTCCGACACGATCTACTCGGACCCCACCTAGGAGGCCTCTACGCAGATATTGAGAGAGGTCTAACAATACCGACGGTCGTCATGGAAGGGCTCCCTCGCGCCGCCGTGCGATCGTGAAGCGCGTGTGTGGCACGCGCGTGCAGGTGCCAGCCCAAGGTTTTGTCGCCGGGGATTCGCGCTGCGGGAGGGGCCAGAATGGGGCCCGGCCAGGCGGGGGAGAGTCAGCACACGTTTGTACATGCACACGAATGGGCGGCGCGATTCCTTGCAGGCAACTTGCCTTCGAGGAGAACCTTTCGCCGAAGAGGACGTCAAGGCAATACGCCACGCGTTCAGGCGCTGCGCTTCTCGTTTGTTGTGAGACGGCAGACATGTCAACTTGTATGTTGTGGCGCTCTACCAGTGCGCAGCCTGGATCATGTCACGCGACAGTACTGCAAGTCCTGCGCGTATTACGATGTACGGTGTTGTTGATGCGGGAGCCGTCAAATTTGCTGTCCCAGTTTTGCTGTCTGTGGTCAATATGCGAAATTGTAGGGGTTAGTGCGAGCATGTTCCCTCCGAACCTTCACCTCACCACACATCATTGTGGCCATGATGCACGGGTGGCAGCCCTCTCAGGGATTCAAATCTGGATGTCAAGGTCAGGTGGTTTCCAGGACAGGACGATCTGGAGGAGGGAGCATGGGGGGCAGTAGACCGCTGTCAGATTTACAGTTTCGGGCGTCTGGTTCGGATGTCAAGATCTGACGCCGAAATTACAAGGGTAGGATGTGAATATTCTGAGGCGGGGACAGGGCGTTCCACTATCTTATCGTTATGTTGGGCGGATCGTGTGGCCCTTTGGGTCGCAGAGCGTTTTGTTGGAGCGTCGACCCCGCCATCATCTGATGTGCACCAAGGGCGAGCACTTGCAGTCAACGATAGTCGCAGCCGATTTGCCAGGCTGTGCCACCAGTCTGGGCTCGCCTCGCTGCGAGTAGCGCCGAGCTGCTCGTCGTGAAGCTGCTCGTCGGGAGCGCCGAGGCCTCATCGGTGGACCACTCGCGGTTTCGCGGGCCGGGTCGACCGGTCTCCCGCCGGGATCGGCCGAGGGAGTCTCAGCGGGGAGTTTCGGAGGTGAAGTGGCGAGCATCGAGGCAATGTTTTGGGACGAGCGGTGTTGCCCCCCCCGTGGGGGGAGGAGGAGGAGACGGGGGAGTTAGACCAGGGGGCCAAACACCGAAATGGTTGTGGAAGGGTGTAGATGCGAGATCTGTTGCATTCATTTGGCTTAGCCCTGCTGCCCAGCACCTTTCTCGGTTTGTAGCCGCGCCTGGGGGCTCCAGGGCGCCCGAAAAGCAGCTGCATGGCTGCATGCACGTTTCGCTGATCCCCTCTGTTCCAGCCCCCCTCTACTGGGGGAGGGGTGCTGGGAGTGGGAGGAGTAGGAGGGAGAGGGGAAGGGGACTGGAGAATGCGCAGAAGGAGGGAGGATGGGAATCCCCCTCCTCCCCGTCCTCCTCCTCCTCCTCTTCCTCCTCCTCCTCCTCCTCCTCCTCCTCCTCCTCCTCCTCCTCGGGTGCATTTTGGGGATTCGGCGCGCGCGCGCGTGTCGGAGCGCGGGAGCTTTCTGCGCCCCACCGCGCAGCCGCTTCAAGACGTCCAACGACCACGAGGTGCACAAGAAGGAGCTTTTGGGGAGGGAGGAGGAGTGAGGGGTGAAGATGAGGAAGAGGAGAAGAAGGAGGATGTCGGAGCAGAAACAACTCCAGAAGCATGAGATTTCGGGGCTCCGCGCGATCGGCGCTTGGCCCCTCTGTGGCGGAGCCCCGCTGGCGCGCACTTGCAGGTCCGAGCCCGAGGGCCTGGCATACATGCGAGGCAGATACAGTCGGGGCCCTGAAGAAGGAACCCTTTTCGTTGGGGAGGGGCTCCGCGTTCCTTAAGTGTTTCACAGCTTGCCTCAGGTTGTCCTTATGTCTTCGATCGGAAATCGAAGTTTAGCTTATGGAAAAAAGGGGCCTCGTTCCTTAATTAGGGTTCATTTGGTCAACGCCCCGACTGCATCCTCGTGCCATGATCGGCGACTGCGCTTCTGTAAAGACTTTCGATGTCCGACCGCTGTCGTCCCGAAGATTTGTCCCGGATTTGGAAGAAACACTCGAGACGAAACGAATTGGGCCTCCTCAGGTTGAGGTAGTTCGGAGCTCAGAGTTGGGAGGATGTCTCAGGCGAAGCTGGCCAGACCACTTCAGGCCACTGCATCTGTGAGCCAATAGTTGCAGCGATGTCTCAGGCGAAACTGTCCCGAAGACCTCATGCCAGGGTTAGGTCCTCCACCTCAGGTCATGGCGTATCTGGGCCCAGAGGTGGGAGAATGCCTCAGGCGAAGTTGACGGGACCACCCCAAGCCATGCACATCGGAGCCCAGAATTTGGAGGAGATCTCAGGCGAAATTCGACGGACCCCCTCGCGTGCGGCTAATGGGAGCCCAGATTTCTTCCTGGATCTTATGGACCCCCTTATTTTTTCAACGCGTTCCCCCCCATCTGTCGCGCACATGCTTCGGACCAGGATGCGCTAACCCCATGTTCAACGTGAGGAGGGGATAAACTCAGGGGGAACGCATCGACCCCGAGTCGTCCTCTCATCGCCGATGGGGACCCGACAGCCCATCCCGCCCAGGAAACTTCGCTTACGCAATCGAGGGCATGTCGCAGATCTAGGTCAAGTCAATGCACCGCTCGTGTTCGGGTAACTCATTACCTCCCTTAGCCAGTTCTCGTCCGCTGCCTCGTCTTATTCCTCCTTATCCTCCGCCTCGTCCTCGTCCTCCTCTTTCCCTCTTCTCCTCCTCCCCCTGGGCCAGTCTCCTCCCAGCTCTTGCCTGCTCGGTGCATTATTGGCCACTTTGTTGGCCGCGCTCAGCTCGGAAAGCTCCGAAATGGCCTGCCCCTTGCATCCGTTTCGCGCATCCTTATGGTACGGGATGATTGTACCGCAGCGAAGCGCGGCAAGTGGCCCGCCAAGCTGACCCCCACTCACCCTGGTTGAGTGTGGCAAGGGTTAAAGTTAACCACGTTGAGTTGGGTTGGGGGCGGCATGCTTGGTTTGCTCGGTTTGAGGGTTCCTCGAGCGAAACGCTTGTTCTGCAGAACATGCTGAGGCTGTCTCGAGCGAAGCGCTTCTTTTGTCGTGTCTAGGTCGCTCATTTCGCCGACCGCTAGACCAGGATCGCGGGAGTTTTCTAGCGGCATCCGGGCCAACCCGCCACCGCGCACGGGCTGTAGGCGAATAGAGTTTCGGATACATGAGCGTCTTTTGGAAAGCCTTGAAGGGCTCTTGATAGGCTCTTGGGGGCATCTGGCAGGTGTTTGGGGGCCTCTCGGGACCGCTGCGGGGCTACCTTACCCCTGCAACCGCAATGACCTTTCGGACACCGTAACCGCAATGACCTTTCGGAAAACTGAAACCGCAATAGCCTCAATACATGTCCAGCCGCACCAGCACCCATATCTCTCTTGGAGTCCCTGAGTGACATTCGGAAGCCTCCACACCACCACCTCCATAGTTGCAGCTATCTGCCATTCTCCGTCATGTTCCTGAAGTGCCTCCCAGACTGGCCCCTCAGGAGCATGGTCGGGTTTGCGACGCGCATCTGCCGAAGCGTTGGCTGAACTCCATGGCAGCTTGTCGGCCGCCCCCATGTTCGTAATGAGGGTGGCGGAAGAGAAGATGTCCTCAATCTAGTCTGACATCCTACCCCCTCCCCTCCCACACCCATCCCTTCCGAATGCGCTGATTTGCTCTCTCTATCCGCCGACGGGTGTCATAGTGGAGAACCTCCACAAGGACACGATCATGTTGTGCGCAATCGAAAGGGAAGAGCCGTGCACATAGGAGGGTGGATGAGCAGGAGGAAGCCTATAGGGGAGGCTTCCGCAGGGTCTCCCCCCTCCGCATGCCGCAGCCCCCCCCCCAGACACCCAGGCTCGGCCGGTAACGACGTTCTGGCAAATTCGTGGGCCGCTCGCGCTGTGATGCCGTTTTGCAGCAGCGGCCGAGGGAAAATAAGGGGAAACGATAGACGTCGAAGGAGAAAAATCGGCGAAACGCGTGGATCTCTTGGATCAGCGCTGGACCCCCAGGCTGCGCCTCCGGCGGCGCCCCTGGCGCGCTCCGCACGACAGGGAGGGGGTTCTAGCCCAGATCCAAGAGATCCGCGCGGAGCGCCAAAAGTTAATGTTTATGCTGTGTTTGTTAGTCTTCTCAAAAACTAGGAGCACCGAGAACAAAACTAAGACGGAGCGAGGGACAACAGGCCATGCATCCGGAAGGACGCGTTGCCGTTTTCGTAGTTAAGCCATTCGCACCCGAGTACAATAACTGAGGCACGAGTGCGTCCAAACAAATTAATGGCTATGGGAGGAAGAGGAGAGAGGCGGAAGGGTGGAGCGAGAGACAACTATAACAAAACGCGACGTCGGAAGGCACCGCGGGCTGGACGGAGGAGGCCTCCGGGGGGGGGGCTGGCCTCGAGCGGGCGGCGCGCGGCACGCCGGTGCGCACGCCGAGGACCTCAACGAGTTCGTGCAGTACCTCGGGTACATCGTGCTGCGGGTGGAGGACCCCGCATCGTTTAACTGACCCCTGTCCCCATGCCCAGACCCCCTCGATCAATGAAAAAAATATGACGGGAAGTTTTCGCCATTTTCGGCCTTTGGGGACCCTCACCGGGCCTCGGGACCGTCAAAACATTGGGTCCCCATCCAGACCCCCACCATCTCAGCACCCCAGTTGGGGATGTATATACATATATATATATATATATACACCCAAGGGTGCCCTCGAGGGCGTGAAGTGATTCGCGCGTCGCGGTTCGGCGCCGATTCCATTTCTTGTCCCCTTCTCCCCTTGGGGGGGGGGGTCGGCGCGAGAGTGCGGAGGTATTCGCGCTTCGCGCAGGGCGAAGCGCGAAGACAGGCGCCCCCGCTCATCCCCACCCCCATCCCCATCCGCACCCCCACCACCTCGGCACCCCAGTTGGGGATGTGCCCCCCGAAACCCGAAGGGAACAGGCCGTATCCCCCTCCAAGGGGGCAAGTCGGCCGGTGGGGCCCAGGGCACGCCCACGGGGACAGGGGTCGGCTGAACGATGCTCAAGGACGTGCTCAAGGTGGCCGACGAGGCACCCCCCCCAGGGCCCATTTCGATCCGAGTGGTTCGACTCCGTATCGGTGCCGGCTGGCCCGATCTGATTCGATGTTGGTGCTCCGGCGGTCCGATGAGGCCCGACGCTTGCATGGCGTGGTCGTGCATCCTGGCGCAGCCGATCCCATTCGACTTCGATTCCGTGGCGTTGTGGCCAGGTCCGCTGTGTGTTTCGGCTCGATCCGATGTATTGGTCGGTGTTGACTGATCCTGCTTCGAGGAGAGTCGTTCCCCCTCCTATGGCTTGGCACCACGCCCGCTCCTTCTGGAAGGGGCTCGATGTATACGCCACGTCGTCTGGTCGCCCAGGGGGCCATTGAGTTTGGCGGAGGAGTTCGTCGTATAGACGCTCCCCAGTGTTCCACCAGTTGGGCCAGACGGGGCTAGGACGATGAATCCGTTCCACTCTGAGGAGGCCGCTTCGCCCGAGACATCCTCCAGAGCCGCCGGATCTCGGAGATTCTCGATTTACGTTCACCCGATGTTATCCTCCTCCTGGCTTCGTCTCAGGTTGGGGAGCTGGGGCGTCTGTACACCGAGTTCCTCGGCCGACCAAGCGACGTGCTGTACAGCGGCGGCCCATGCCAAGAAGCACCCTGCGCTTGCCTCCTGGGTGCACTGGGTTTCTTGGGGTTCGGTGGTTTTGCGATGGAAAGCGTGACGCTCCCACACCAAACATCGATGGACGTCCTGGGGTCTCAGGGCTGGGCTTCCCGTGAAAGGTTTCTTGTGGTCGGGCCTCTACTGCAGCTCTTGTCGGTCGACTCCATGCAGCACAGGGGCTGGACCGTTCTTAGGCAGCCCGCGGGCGCGAGCGCGAGGCGTCAGTCGGCGCTGATCGACGATCGGCCCCCGCCACCGCGCCTCCACGTGAGACACCACGAGGCGCAGGGCGGTGGCAGGAGGAGGGAGAAGCGGTGGCGCCTGCAGTTCTTTGGAGGGCCGCGCTCCGGAGCACAGGGCTGAACGGCGCCTCGATGATCCAGGCCGCCCCTCGCCCGGCGCGAAGGTGACTGGCCGCGCTCCTCGATGTTGGGCAGCAGAGTCGGGCAAGACGGAAGGGGGGGATGGGGAAAGGGGGGGTTTGCGAAGTCTGCTGCATGCAGCTGGTTTCAGCCCCACCGATAGGGCCCATTCCTCGATGCATGGCCGCCTCCGGCGCCGGGAGGCGCCGGGAAAATCAGCTACGTGAGCTCATTCTCACCCCCCCCCCTTTGCTACCCCCCCCCGGCCCGAGAGAGGTCATCGAGGACAAAAGAGCCCCTAGCCTGCCCACGAAACCACACCAACCCAACCCGAAGGCCCCGATTTGCCCCCCATTTCCAGTGGGGGGGGAGGTCGCGGAACATTGAATGAAGCCCGTACTTCCCCCCCAACCCGACATTCGGGTCTGCGGGTTGGGTTGGGGTGCTCTGGTAGGTAGTCAGATGAAGACGTGGCCTCAATTCGGCCCTCTTCTGCGCATCAGGGATGAACAAATGGGCGGTTTGTTTGATGCATCTGCAGAACAGATCCCTTATCCCTGATGCGTTGGCCCTCCTGCCAGAGGGTGAGGCGTGCTTCTGTTGCTTGTCAACGGGGGGTGTTCTTCTCCAGAGCGGGCCGCTCGAGAGCGCGAGGATGGTCGCGCTTCGCACGGCACAGACGCGCCGGGGTAGTTCCCGAGCGGTGTCAAGGAATGTCGATGAACTCGCAGGGTCAGGGAGCATCGCAGCAACTCCTGTGAAGCTGCAGCGTGTCCCGAAGGCGTTTTCCGACTCGTTCCCTCTACGTCTGCCGCGAGCCTTTCCGCAGCTCCGTCAGAGCACTTCGGGGGGCCCTGCGAAGTTCTTTGTTTGGGGCTCAGGGTTGCCACTGGTTTTGGGAGCCCTGCCTGGGATCTGCGTCGGGAATACGTTTCGTGGCAGAGGCTTGCGCCTTGGCCAGAGAAGCTCCTTTTGTTCCTCATATTCGGCATTCCTCGTGGCGGCACGGTGATTGGCGCCATCCGCCCCCAGGCGCGGTCACCCCAGGCAGGGAGCGCCCGTGCCCAACGTGCAAATGTCAGAAGACTAGGCTGAAGCCTACCTGCTTCAAGTGGTGGCGGGGCAACCGAAGAGTGCATTCACCTGCTGACCCCTGTGGAAACCCCGCTTTATACCAGGAGGTCGCCAGCTCACCGAGCACAGCGTGGACAACGAAAGTATTGGTCCCACGAGATCGTCTCAACTGTATGGGAGTCAATGCATTTGGTGGAAGCCTGTCCAAGAAGCGCGGGACGAAACTTGATTCCAGCGGTGAATTGGCACATGTTAGGCAGTGCGTGCAATTTAAATGCTTGACGTCCAGAAACGATGCGCATATGAGTTGACGGGGGGAGAGAAAGGACGAGACACGCATAGTCAAACAGCGAGGGAGGCTTGGGAGGCTCCGTGGCCATCTCGAGCCGTCTTGGAGCGGTCTTGGGGCCTCTTGGGGCATCTTGGGACCATCTTGAGCCAGCTTGGACTATCTTGAGCCATCTTGGAGGTCATCCTGGGCTCTCAAAGGCCGCTTGGGGGCCATCCGGGGGCCTCTTGGAGGCCTCTCGGGGGCCGCCTCTCGGAGCCCTCTTGGGGCCTCTTGAGGCACTATAGACATATATATATATATATGTCTATACATATACACATATATATATATATATATCATTCGTGGACTTCGGCCCACTACGCCGCCGCGCCTGGGTCGTAGCTCGAAGGTTTTTGGATGCCCGTGGGAAGCCATGTGGAGGCCTTTCGGTAGCGTTTGGGTGGCGGTTTGTCGGTGTTTGGGGTGTCTTGGAGGCCTTTCGGGTGTTCGTTAGGGCCTTTCGGGGGCCTCCTGGGGCTTCTTGGGGGCCTCTAAGAGAGGCCGGCTTGTCGTATCGGGGACCATCTTGGGGCGGAGGGCTCGTCAGTTCGAGTTCCCCCTCGTGGGGCCATCTCCCTCTCGAGACCGCTTTGGGTGCCTCTCGTGCCCTATTAGGGCCCGCTTGCGCCGTCTTGCGGGCCTCGTGGGGGCCTCTTGAGCCGTTTTGCTGCAGTCTTGGAACCCGACCAGGCGACAACGCTGATATCCTTCAAACACCCACGGGGAATCAATGATGTCGGCCTCCTCTCGGGGCCCTCCTCTTGGGGCGTCTTGGCAGTAGTTTGGACCGTCTGGAGGCCATCCTGGGCGTCTTGGAGCGATCTTCGGGCGATTCGGAGACCTCTTGGACAATCTTGGGGCCCTCCTCGGGCCCTCTAGGCCCGTGTCAAGTCATGCGTGGACACGAGCTGGATCTTCGGAGCCCCCTGGAGCGCCAGGAGCGCGCGGCAGGCAGAGTTGCGAGCCCCTGAGAGGGCAGACTCATGAATGGTAGAGGACTGGTGGGCCTGCGGCTGCGTTCTTCTCACGTCTGACGCCCGACGGCTGTTCTCCTGAGACGTCCTTTGCCCAGCTTAGTTCCTTACGAGAGGACAGACAACCTGGACGCCTGCATCTGTGCATGCAGCAGCACTCCTCGCAGTGCCTCGCGGCACGGATGCCCAAACACACATTGCGCATATATAGAGTGCAACCGTATAGTGTTTGATGCCCACGCTGGCTAGCACGTGTTAACTGTCACCGTGCAGGTCCATGGGCCCGAGCCTTTCCAGCGGATTTCTGCTGCTGTGAAACACTTATTTGCGTTGACTCGTAAGGAGGGACGGAAAGGTTGCAGTACCAGTGGCGCGTGTTGGGTTTGCATGGGCCTTCCTCCGCCTCCTCCATTCTTCCCTCTCCTCCTCCCGCCTCTTCCTCCCTCCATGCCCTCTCCCCTTCACGTAGGGAAACATGTCTGCTGATCTTGCAGCCGCCGCAGTGCAGGTGACTCCCTACAGCACCCTGGACTTCAACGAGGCCGTCGCCTTCGTCGAGAAGTACGCGAGGACCGAGTGCCAGAAGCTCCTGGCGCTTGTACGCCCAGAATGCCCAGGAGGAGAGGGAGAGAGAGAGAGAGAGGAAGGGAACCAGCCAGGTGCGCTCGCGCCATACCTGACACCCTATTCCTCCCTCCCATCCCTTCCCGTTGCGCTGTTGCTTGTTCTCTATCCGCGGACTCGTGCCACAGCCATGGCCGACTTGGAGGGGGGTGAGTGACAGGACCAGGGTGCTAATGCTGTTGTTTGTTGTTGGGCTTCCTGTCTAACCGACCTGTGACAGGATGAGGATGCTGATGCTGTTGTTTGTTGTTTGGGCCTCATTTTTGTTGCGCCTTTTGAGGGGGGCCTCGTCCCCGCGGCGGAATTCGCTTCGAAAGCCTGCTCATGCCCGCGACCTGGGTCGTGGGGCGATCTCGACGGGAGGGAGAGGATGCGGGCAGTGTTTATGAGGGGGGGATGCGGAGGAGATGGTCAAGCGGGGAAGCAAGGGGGTCCAGACAGAGAAGGTGGGGACATGCGGACTGCTACTAGGAGGAGGACGAGGAGGGTAAACAGAGGCGGATGAGAATGCAACAGAGGGCGAATGCTAGGGGAATGGAGGGGGATGTGGAGGAGGTGGGGAAGTGAGGACGAGGAGGATAGAATGACGGGCATGACGATACATATGTCGAGGATTAGGACGAGTTTGAAACCACGGAACCACGGAGGGAGGATGCATATGTGAGGAAGACGAAGAAGAAAGAGGAAATGGAATCTGACACCGAGCAGAGGGAAGCGGGGTAAGAGGGATACCGAGACGGAGGAGGACGATGGGGGGACGAAGAGGGAAGAGGGAGATGGAGAAGAACGATGGGGTTGGAGAAGAACGCGAGTCATGAGTGTGAGGAGGTCGCAGGAGGAGGATGCGGAGGCGGAGGCAGGGGGGCGGGGGGACACGGGACCAGGGCGGAGCGGGAGAGGGGTCGAGATTGGGCGGGGCCGGGCGGGCAGGGTGTTGGGAATGGCAGGAGGAGGGGCGTGAGCCGGGGGCGGGAGGCGGCTGGGGGTGGAAAGTGAGGGGGAGGGCGGACAAGGAGAACGTACCCATGCCAGTACCCTTGCCTCGTTTTCCCCTTGTGGGCCTCCTGGGAAGCTCTCGTCGCCACCGCTGGATTCGCTCCGAAATCCTGGTCAGGGCGCACCCCAGGAGACCTCCGGGGAGCAGCGGCATCAGAGCACTGGTTTGCCCAGTGGAGGGTAGAGCTTGGTATCGCTCGGACTTGTGCATTTCTCCTTGGGCGAGGAACATCGAGGAGCATCCTTGTGATCATTTAGCGAAAAAACCACGCACGAAACCGAACAAAACACAGGGAATGGACGTCCGAGCGATGGCGAGAGAGGGAACGAGCGAGGGCGAGGGCGAGGGCGAGGAGGAGGAGGAGGGTGGTGGAGAAGGAGGAGGGGGCGGACATCTCGACACGCCGTGCCCTCTCCGGGTGCACGGTCCGTCGCCGCAGCCAGGCGCTCTTCCGGTCTTACGACGACGACGAGAGCGGGAAGCTGTCGGTCGAGGAGCTCAGGCGTGGCTCCTGCCGCGCGTCCACCCACTCAGTCATCCCCGTCGTCATATCGTCATGCCCTGCCCTTCCCCCCCCCTTCTCCTCCACTGCCGTTCCTGCCCAGCTCCCCCATTCATCCCCTTCAGCTCTTCGCCCGCCCGGCCCCCCTCACCCCCCCCCCACCCACCCCTCTCTCGCCCCACAATTACAGCGAGGTTCGCACACCGCGAGCAACCGACTCTCTTCCCACAGCGAGGCCCTCCTCGTCGCTCGCCTCCTTTCCACTCCCCGTCGCTCGCTGTCGGGGTCGTGGATGGGGGTCCGCAGCCTGCCTCGATCTCCCTTTCGCCCTCCCCCCCCCCACCACCCTCCCATCCCATCGACTGCCCCCACGAGTGGGGGGGGAGGGGGAGGAGGAGGAGGAGGAGGAGGAGGAGGAGGAGGAGGAGGAGGAGGAGGAGGAGGACCCGTGCAAACCCAAAACCCATCAAGGACGCTGCAATAAAGCCTTCATCCAAGTTCCCTCATAAGTTCCGAAAAGAGCTCATTCGCATTGCACTAAGAGCCCCGTTGGAAGACAGCCGTCTGACAATCTTCAACCGTGCCAACACAGCATTCATGGAACTTGTGACTGTCGCGACCCCACAACCCTAGATTGCATTGAAAAACAGTGTCTGGGATGCCAGCCAACATAACATGGGCAATTGTTGTACATTGTTAAAACGGATATGCGCGGCGCTACGGCGAGAACAACATTTGGAACATGTCCCGCTTTCGATCCGTGAAGCTATTAGAACGTTTAAGACGAATGCGTGCGTCGCTGAGGCGCGAGCCATATTTTGAGAACCGCCCACCCTCTTTCCGTGGCGAATGTGCGCGGCGCTACGGCGTGCACCACATGTTGAAAACTATACACCCTCCATCTGTGAGACTGATGCACATTTCAAGTTTCAGGACCATGACTGGCGAGGCAGTCTCAGGCGAAGCGCCCAGTCCGCCCTACCGACCCGTCTTGGGGCGCGGCAGGGAGGAGTTATTTATTAGGAAGAGGGGTGGGGGAAGAAGAAGACGGAGGAGGAGGACAGGAAGGAGGACGGGGAGGAGGAGGAGGCATATAGAGGAGGAGGAGGAGGCAGGCACGAAGGGAGGGAGGGAGCGAGATGGAGGACCGAGCAGCAGCAGCCACAGGAGTCTCGCTCGCTTGGGAAGGGGAGCGGGCACAGGAGCGGCATGGGAGGAGTGCGGCGCCACCCACGCCTTTGCTCAATGGCCCACATAGGGCCCGCGGGCCATCAGGCAGCACAGAGTTGACACCTCGAAGCTGCGCTCGACCGACCTCTCTTCTTCCCTTTCCGGACCAGGAGGATCCCTCGAATTGTTGTTGCCGAGTGCCTTCGGCAAAAGGAGGCATCCGAGAACCATTGGGGAAATTCCGCCTCCTTCCTCCCACAGAGAGTTTCCGAAAACTTGCTTCCTTCCCCTGGCTCCTCCCCCCTTCGGACGGGGCTGGGACGAAGGTAAATCCGTTCCAGAGCGTTGTGGAACGCTCTCAGAGCGTTCCAGGACGCTCTGAGAAGACCGCGGCGCCCGAGACATCCTCTCGAGCCGCCAGATCTCAGAGATTCTCGATTTATCCTTACCCGATATTATTCTCGTCTTGGCTTCGTCTTACCCCTCCTCCCCAACTCCTCCCGCCGAGCGCCCACCAGCAAACCCCCCTCCCTCCCATGCCCCTCCCGCCCATTCGGCTCACCTCCTTATCATCCTCATTCCCCTCCTCCCTCCTCCTCGGGGAAGACCAAATGGAGGTGGGCCGACGATCTTGCAGCGACGGTACGAAAGACACCACGGCGGTGGAAAGAATTGAGTGACGCAAAAAAAGAAGTCGTTTGTGCCGCGCCTGGGGCACGCGCGTGTCGGCCCTGTGAAGCGTCGGTGCGCATGAATTACAGACGCGATGTACGGATCACGATCAGACGCGATGTACGGATCACAGAGCCGCTGCACCCGATAGCCACACCCCATTCTGCTAATCCTGACCCTGTTTGACCTCTTCAGCGGCAGCACGCTCATTCTACAGGGGGGCCCCATGCCAAGAAATACCTTGCTTGCCTCCAGGGTGCCCCGGGTTTCTTGGGTTTCGGTGGTTTGACAATGGAGAGCGTGACGTTCCCACACCGAAAATCAATGGACGTCCTGGGGTCTCAGGGTTGGGTTTCTTGTGGAAAGTTTCTTGTGGACTGGCATCCACTCTATCTCCTCCTCGTCCTCCTCCCCCCTCTCCCCCCCCCCTCCTCTCGCAGACGATTTTTCTCCCCAAATCCCTGGGTTCCACCCGAAAAGTTTGGCCGCTCAGTGAGAGGTGAACACCCTGGGATAGACCCCACGGGGCCTGTTCGAACCCACCCCTGTCGAGAATGGACGCCCCCCTATCGTATATCCCAGGGTGGGGCCGAAAATTTCTGGTCCATTCGAGAGCCTCCAAAAGCGTCGGATAGGAGTCGACATATCTGAAGCGTGTGTGAGTATAGCCTGATTGGATTGGGGCTACTCCGCTTGTCCTTAACCTCTTGCCCATGCTAGACGTGACCAGAGAGCCAGGAAACTAAGCGCAGGATTGGGGGCTTAGTTTCCGTCCCGTTTCGGACGGCCCCGATCCCCAAAATGGGACACCGAGCCCCCCTCCAGGGGGGTGACATAGCCGCCGTCGCCCGGGTGCGCCGGCGACGGCGGCTATGATGTCAACCCCCAGGGGGGGGGGGGGCTCGGGGTCACTTTTGCGGTGGTTCTCAGGGTCGCCTGGGCCCTGTCCTGGCCTGCTCCGGGTGGGGGGCCGCCCCGCGGCGGTGGTCGGGCCTTCCGTGGCCGCATGGGCTCGGAAGTGCAAGCCCACGGCCTGCACCCCCCTCACTTTCTGCCCTCCTCGCCCAACCCACGCGAGGGGGGGACCGCCGAATGTGCCCGGCCAGCATATTCGGTGGGCAAGTTGGCACCGGGGCAACGTGGCAACCCAACGTGCTGGGCCCATACCCCGGGGAGCCTCCATCAGACCAGTGTACGCTGTACAGTGGTCTCGAAGCGGTATTTGTTGAAATAGCGAGAGAGGAAAAATGCGTGCTGCAGTCGATCACTCTCTCTGCTAAGAAGTACTGCCGTCACAGCTTCCGCGGGGGAAGTACGGCCCCCTTTTTATTCCCTGTTATCGACGCTGGGGCCTCCCATCGCCCTCCTTCCCTCGCTTCCCCCCTCCCTCCCTTCTTCCCTTCCCCCTCCCTCCTCCCTCCTTCCCTCCTTCCCCCTCCTTCCCTTCCTCCCTCCCTCCTCTCTACCCTTCCCCCCTCCCTCCTCCCTCCTTCCCTCCCTCTTCCGTCCTTCTCTCCCTCCCCCTCCTTCCCTCGCTTCCTCCCTCCCTCCCTTCTGCCTTCGGACCTGCCTCTTCGGAGGCAGGCCAATCCATAGTCCATAGTCCCTTCCTTCTGCCCTTCCCCTCTCCTCCGCCCTCCTTCCTTCTCCTCCCTCCCTCCCCTCCCCTCCTCGCCGCTGGATCTGCGCCGCCAGCGCGGGCGCCCGCTCCGCAGAGAACGCCCCGCACGAGCCTTGGCCCGTCGCTTTCCCTCGGCTCATCCGCGGTCGTCGGTCGTCGTCGGTCGTCGTCGTCGTCGTCGCCCTCGGTCGTCGTCGTCGTCGCCGTCGCCGTCGCCGTCGCCATCGTCGTCGTCGGTCGTCGTCGTCGTCGTCGTCGGTCGTCGTCGTCGTCGTCGTCGTCGTCGTCAACGTCACCCTGCCCGTCCACCACGGCCACCACGACGACGACGACGACGACGACGACGACGACGACGACGACGACGACGACGACGACGGCCTCCGAGGCCGCCAGCGGCCGCCCCGGGCAGGCCTCGCTTAGAGACCTCCGATTCGAAACGATTCGATGTCGATGGCTTGCGATTCCGCTTCGATGTCGATGTCGATGTCGATGTCGATTCGAATCGATTCGATGTCGATGGCTTGCGATTCCGCTTCGATTCGATTCGGGATTCCGACTCGGGCTCCGATTTCTCACCAGATGCCGCCTTATTAGGCTGCCGATTTCCACCGACCCGAGGTTTCCCGACTCTGCTGCCGACCTCCGCCGATCCGAGTGCTTCCGGTCGCCGCTCCGATGCATCGCCTCGCTTCTGGGCTCTCCTGGCCCCAGGCCCCCCCTCCAGGCAGCGCGCCCTTTTCCCCCTCTTCCTCCTCCACCTCCACCTCCTCCTCCTCCTCCTGCTGCTCCTCCTCCTCCCTCCTCCTCCACCTCCACTCCTCCTCCTCCTCCTCCTCCTCCTCCTCCTCCTCCTCCCTCCTCCCACCTCCACCTCCACCTCCTCCTCCTCCTCCTCCTCCTCCTCCTCCTCCTCCTTCTCCTCCTCCTCCTCCTCCTCCTCCTCCTCCCTCGGCAGAGGCGCGCGCTGTCCTCGTTCGGCTTCGTCCCGTACCGGGCCATGGTGGAGGAGGCCATGGAGGCCCCGCGGAGGGAGGGCTTAGGGAGGGCCAGCCGAGGCAGCGTTCAGGAGGGGGTAATTTCGCAGGCCTGGAGATCGACACCAACACCAACATCGGCGATGCTCCTCCACCGAGGGAAGACAGATCCCGATCTCGGCGATGGTGGTACTATTCTGGCTTCCAAGGTGGCCGAAATGTTACCACCAACACCGGACTCTAGGATCATCTCCCCCCTGTGGAGGCAGCCCCCTGTCTTGGTGTTGGTGCCCACTTCCTCGGCACAATTTTCTTCGCAAGGGGGTGTTGATCCACATCTTCAGCTACCTCGTTGGCTTGGTTTCCTCCGGGATTGGCCACAGTCATGGTTAATTCTTACACCATGGTGCCCATTTCCAGGCCTCCAATCATTTGGCTCAGGGGCAGACGCATCGACTCCCAGTCGCCACGCATCCTCACCGCCCTGGGGCCCGACAGCCCGCCCCGCTCCGTCGTGCGCGTGGGTTCGGGATCGGGGGCCCATCGGTGACGTGTCGGTGGTTCGAGCTCGACCTTTCCCCCTGAGCTGGCGCCCACGTTGCCCCTGGAACGGTGGCCCTCCACTGCTCAGGAGGGAAAAAACACACAGACACAAGTAATCGTCAATCCCCCAGAAAATATAGGAAAATATGGGAGGTGGGGGGAAGGCAAAAACCCAGAAAACATGGGAAACTGCGGGGAATCTGTTTGTTTGTGTGTCTTTATTTGTGCCCTCGGGCCCCTTCAACTGCATCCCTCGCCTTCTTGGGGGCTCGAGTGGGGCCCCGCGCCGCCACGGCCGGAGCCGCCCCGAGAGCTGCGCAGGGCGGCGGGGGCGCGCACGGGGGCCGACTTCGAGCGGAGGCTCTGGGCCGGGCGAGGGCCGGAGAGGCGCCGTTGTCTCAGCTGGCCCTCCTGCGAGGGGAGGGGCCCGCCGCGCCGGCGTGCCCTCTGGGTGGGTTCCCGCCCTCGCCCTCGAGGACGCAGGGGGGAGGAGGAGGAGGAGGAGGAGGAGGAGGAGGAGGAGGAGGAGGAGGACGGCGAGGAGGACGGCGAGGAGGACGAGGACGAGGACGAGGACGAGGGGGAGGACGAGGAGGAGGACGAGGACGAGGACGAGGAGGACGAGGAGGACGAGGAGGACGAGGACGAGGACGAGGACGAGGACGCAGGGGGAGGACGAGGAGGACGAGGAGGACGAGGACGAGGAGGGGGAGGACGAGGAGGACGAGGACGAGGACGAGGACGAGGACGAGGACGCAGGGGGAGGACGAGGAGGAGGAGGACGAGGACGACGTGGAGGACGAGGACGAGGACGAGGGGGGACCCAGGGGGAGTCAGCCTTCACCCAGCGCCTCCCCGAGCACCACAGCGTGGAGAGTTTCCCGAGAAGCTCTGCGCCAGGCCGGGAAGGCCTCGGCCTCCTCCCAGGAGGCCCCGCCGTTGTCCCCCCAGAGAGCGGCCGCCAGCGAGCTGCCGCTCCTGCGTCTGGGTGTAGCAACCCGAAGTGGCCGCAAAATGTATGAGCACATTTTGCACAAGGGCTTTTATGACCTGCTCGCTTGCACCGGCATCGGCGCCAATGGTGGTCTTCATGATTTGGTGGTAACCGTTGCCCGCTGTAGCACCAGCGTCCAAGCTTGCGTTCTTCATGCGGGCAGCCTTGTTCTTGTCTTTGCGGTCGTCCCACTCCGTATCGAACGTGTCTGATACGACGTTGATAGAGTCCACGCCTTTGGTATCGTCGTTGTGGAAGAACCCCTTGGCCTCGTCTGCTGCTTGCGATGACGCACCCGATTCCTGGTATGAAAGTTGTGCGCAGCTTGGTTGCTGATGGTCCAACCGACTGCAGCGACGCCAGCCCATGGAGCTTCGCACTCGGAGTCTGCTCTAGCCTCCCGACGCCAAGCAGCGAACACGAAGCCCACGCCGCCTGCGCCGTTCTCCGCCGTGGATGGTGGATTGCCAGCGCCTCTTGGTTGTTATAGCCTGTTCAGACATAGTAAAACAATAGTCTGGGGACGATGATTTTAGTTTGTGTTACCATTATTGTTGTTGTTTTTGACTATGCTCAATTTCTCGCCCAACATCCGCCTGTAGGAGGACACGCCCGAGCTAATTGTAGCCCTGTTGGTCCAACTTCCGTCGAGGCTCACGCATGAGCTTCAGGTTGGTGTCTTTCGCTCCTCGTCGCTGTGGTCTCCGACTAAGAAGCTGCCAACCACTGCGGGGCCGATTCTCCTCGACGCCGTTGGCTAGCGACTCGCTTCGGTTTCCGTGAGCTTCGGCAGCGCTTCCATGCCTGAGCTCGGCGCCCGTGCCACTGTCTCCGACGCCCCCGTCGAGGGATGGTGGCCCACCCCGCGCCGAACCCGTCCACGAAGAGCGAAAGATGAGTGCAATGTTCCTTGCTGAGGGTTATGCTGTTCCAACCTACTTTAGCTTTGATCGCCAGAAAGAATTTCGAGCACCAAGAAGTTACCGAAACTTGAGTTGCTTCGCGTGTCGGGCCCTGGGAGGCGATACTCGTTCGACACTGGCTCGATACTGCTCTGGGTGCTCGGAACTATTTCCGGGATGTGGTCCATACGTACGATGCGAGCAGCATGAATGACGAACGATCAGCACACACACCCATACCCATAGGGGGGTCGTTGGGAGGAGGACTGGCTATGGGTATGGGTGCGGGTTGTCGGACCCTGGGGAACGCTCCTGTTCGAGCGGGGACCCCCCTCCAGCAACACGCACCCATAGCCCTTTCCGATCCCCCTATGGGTACTCCAGACTTCGTAATAAAAGGGAGGGGGTCTGGACCCTCCAAGACAAGCCATTTCAGACCCCCCCCCCGTGGGAGAACCCTTCAAAACATCGTCCCCAGACCCCCCCAGGCCCTCCAAGATAGCCTGGAAGAGACCCCCCCCGGAATGAGACCCCCCTCCCTTTTATTACGAAATCTGGAGTATGGGTGTCACCACCCACCAAACCACCCCAACCTAACCCGAAGGCCCAAATTTATCCTCGATTTCCAGTGGGGGGGGGGTCGGGGAACGTTGAAAAAACACATGGAACCCGTACCCCCCCAACCCGAAATTCGGGTCAGATTCGGGTCTTCGGGTTGGGTTGGGGTGGTCTGGTAGGTAGTCAGGGTGTGTGTTGTTGGTTCGTCCATGCAGCCGAGGGCCGACCCGTGGAGGCGGCGGGGGGGCCGCCGCCCGAGCTCCGGCCCGCCGTGCCTGCCCGCGGCCGCGCTCCGCACGCCGGGCCCGCCGCCGGCGCGGGACAGCGGCGCCCCGCCCGCTCCTCCCCTCCTCCTGCTCCTCCTCCTCTCCTCCTCCTCCTCCTCCTGCTCCTCCTCCTCCTCCTCCTCCTCCTCCTCCTCCTCCTCCTCCCCCCCTCCTCTGCCTCCTGCTCCTCCCCTCCTCCCCCTCCTCCTCCTCCTCCTCCTCTCCTCCTCCTCCTCCTCCTCCTCCTCCTCCTCCCCCTCCCCCTCCCCCTCTCCTCCTGCTCCTCCTCCTCCTTCTCCTCCTCCTCCCTCCTCCTCCTCCTCCTCCCCCTCCTCCTCCTCCTCCTCCTCCTCCTCCTCCTCCCCTCCTCCTCCTCCTCTGCCTCCTCCTCCTCCTCCTCCTCCTTCCTCCTCCTCCTCCTCCTCTCCTCCTCCTCCCTCCTCCTCCTCCTCCTCCTCCTCCTCTCCCTCCTCCTCCTCCTCTCCTCCTCCTCATCCTCCTCATCCTCCTCCTCCCGCCGCTCCAAAGCTCATGGAGACGGGGAGGGTGGGGCTCCCAAACGGTGCTGTGACCACACCGTGCGGTGAGTCGGTGGGGATTCGGGGTCACTGCACGATTCTGGGACTCGGGTCGTTCTCCGAGGACGTCTCGGGCGACAGGGGCCTCCGAGGTCCCAAGACCGTGCGGTGACGGACCGTGCGGTGAGGCTTTTGCGGATTTCGAGGTCACCGCCGGGTCCGTCACCACACGGTTTTGGTATCCTCAAGAGACGGGGAGGATGGGGGAACGAAGGAAGGCCCCCTCTGGGGCCCTAAAGGGCCCCCTCAGGGGTCCCTTTCTTCTGCAGCCCGCGCTGCCCCCCCGTTGATCGCCCCCCCATTGCGCGACGCCCACTCTGCCTCCTGTTGGCCTCCTCTGGGGGAACGAAGAGTGGCATAAGCATAATACGCGGAGGTCCGGCGGATGTCTCGGATCCGCGCTAGACGCTAGACCCTTTTCGGCGGCGCCTCCGGCGCCGCGCCGCCCTTCGCGCGCTCCGCGCGCCAGGGAGGGGGGTCAGCGCCAATCCGAGAAATCCGCGCGGACCTCCGAGTTTTGTATGTCATTCTTCGTTCCCCTAGAGGAGGCTAGCAGGAGGCAGATTGGGCGTCGCGCAATGGGGGGGCGATCAGTGGGGGGGCAGCGAGGGCTGCAGGAGAAAGGGGCCCTTTGAGGCCCCCAAGGGAGAGCCCTTTAGGGCCCAAGAGGGGGCCTTTATGGCCCGGGTTGTGCACCTTTCTCCCCCCTTCATTTATCACCCCCAGATTATTGTGCCCTTTTTTCCCCCCCTCATTTTGTGCACCTTTCTTCCCCGCCGCATTGAGCGACGCCCAAGCAGAGGGAGTGGAGAGGCAGGAGGAGCAAATTGGAGGCAGGAAACAGCAGCCCAGGACATGGAGGAGGAGCAGCAGGGGGAGTGGAGGAGGAGGAGGAGGCAGGAGGATACACGCCAGTCGTTCGTTAAACGTAGGTACTTGGGAATTCCCAGATTTCGATCTACTTTACGTAGGCGCCTTCCTACTTCAATGATAGAGTGGTTTCGCCTTGCCGTCCTCTTCAGGGGGCGGGCGGAAACCCAATATACTTCCAACGCCTTCCTACTTCGTGCTTCTACCCACTTCTCTCGACCGAGGGTTCGAGGGAGGGAGGAGGAAGAGCAGGAAGGCTGGGAGGAGGGCAGTGACGAGGACGAAGAGGAGGAGAAGGGTGGGAGCGCAGGCGGAGGACGACGATTGGACTGC